GAGAAGAGCTGCCTGGGAGTCCCAGGGGGCCTCGCCCCCCTCTTTGCCCTCCTTCCTCCTCCCTGTCTCTGGGAGGCTGCAGGGTGCTTCTGAACCTAGAGCAGATGGGACCATCTGCAAGGGAAGTGTCCATGGGGAATTTGCCCCCATCAGCCTTTCAGAGATGAAAATAATATTTGCCACTATTGATGGAGCACCTACTGTTTACTTGGCATACATGTTTCATCACTGTGGGCATTAGCAAGGTTTTATGTGTGTGGAGAAAGTGAGGCTCAGACAGGTTAAGTAACTTGCCCAGGATCACACAGCGATGGTGTGTCAGAGATGGCATTTGAATCCGGGTCAGCAGGATGCCAAAGCCCTGGGTGGGTCCGGGCCTCATGCCAGTGGAAGGAGGAATAGCTCCAGGCCTGTTTCTCTCTCAGCCCCAGGAGAGAAAGGGGACTGAGGTGTAGGAACTGCAGGGGCCAGAGAGGAGGGAAGTGTGGGCAAGGCTGAGGGGAGGCTGAAGGAGCTAGAACCTGTCACAGTCTGAACAAGAGGTAAGTGGACCCAGAGAAGCAGAAAGGAGCAGTGGGACACTAATCACAGTCCTTGGGTTTCTCAAGTGTTATCTTTCTGAAGCCAATTCCCCCTTTCTTCATCTCCGCTCCACAAACCCCAGTCAGTCTGGCTTGCCCCTCTGCCACTCTACGCTGGCAGCCCTCTCCCATCCCTCATTTCACTCTTGGCCTTTGCACTAGAGTCAGTTGTCAACATGTTCATCTCTCCTTTGACACTAGGAAATTTTGAAGGCAGGGACAATGCCACTCCTTACCACGTCCCCAGGGCCAACCCTGGGGCTTGACACAGGCAATGCCTCAGTGGAGGTTTGCTGAAATGTACAGGGCAGGGATGGGGAATGTGTTCAGGGGTTCAGCTCACCTCAAATGAAGAGGAAACAACAGCAGGAGGACTTAGGTTTTCCATAAGAAAGAACTTTGAGCCGAAACCGGTTTGGCTCAGTGGATAGAGCCTCGGCCTGCGGACTGAAAGGTCCCAGGTTCAATTCCGGTCAAGGGCATGTACCTGGGTTGTGGGCACATCCCCAGTAGGAGATGTGTAGGAGGCAGCTGATCGATGTTTCTAACTCTCTATCCCTCTCCCTTCCTCTCTGTAAAAAATCAATAAAATATATATATATATTTTTTTTTTAAAAAAAGGAAAGAACTTTGAGCCCTGCCCAGGTAGCTCAGTTGGTTAGACAGTCATCCCAATACACCAAGGCTCCGGGTTTGATCTGATCAGGGTACATACAAGAATCAACCAATGAATGCATAAACAAATCTCTCTCTCTCTCTCAAATTAAAAAGAAGAAAGAACCTTGAAGGCTGGAGAATCATGCTGAAGCCTTGATTCAGACCCATAGATTCTGAAGATCAAGGTTTCTCCAGACTGGCTGCTGTATATTAAAGGTCTTGAACAGTTGAGAAATCTGGGCCCCACCCCCAGATTCTGATTTAATTGGTCTCAAATGGGGCCACAGCATCAGCATTTTAAAAAGCTCCCCAGTTGATTCAAATGTGCAGCCTGGGTTGAACCATTGTCAGATTCTGCCCTGATGTAGCTGCACTGGTGGTTTTACCACTGGACCCAAACATCAAGGCTAATATTACTTTCTGAGGATTTACTAAGTACAAGCGAATGTGCCAAGCACTTTCTATGCATTATCTCATGTAATCCTCAGTAACTCCTGTGAAATAAATGTTACTCCCATCTTATAGATGAGGAAACTGAGTCAGAGAGGTCAAGGGACCTGCCCATGCTAATGAGTGGCAGGACCAGGTCTGGAAACTGAAATTCCCTGAGTCACATCCTTTACCTTCCCCCAGACTCCTCCTGAGGCTGCTCATTGGCCTCAATCAGTCCTTGCCTGCCTCCACCTCACCTCATCACCTTCCTTCCACCCACGCTGCTCCCTCAGTAACATCCCAGGTGACGGAAGCAATCTGCAGCCATTTCAAGAAGCTCCATATGTCAGTCACTCAGCCTGCGAGGGTGGGGAACTAAGGGAATTGAAGATGCTTCAAGATAGTCCTCTCACCCCCCTGAGGACACTAGGAATTCAGGAATCGGACTGTCCAATTCTTCCTTGGCTCCCTGTTTGGGGCACTCCCAAGCGGAGTTCCCACTCCCAGAAGCCTCACTGGGTTGATTCTAAGTATCTGTGAGAGTGCTGCCACCCAGTGGTTGCCCAGGGACATAGCAGCCCTCTGGGGCCGCCTGGTGCTGCTGGACAGCTCCCCAACTCAAGACCAGAACCCCAAATCCTCCCTTCCTTTTGGCAATGCCAAATCCAGGCCCCTAGTAAACGAATCCCATTCTTCCTCCTCCACAATCCTAAGCCCACAGCTCCTCTAGGGATCTCCAGCTCTCCTCCTGACTTCCCATGTGTCCCCTGTCCCCAACCCTCACAACTTCTCATCCACTGTGCCAGCCCTTTCTCCGCTCTCAAAGCCCTGAGAACACACCTCTTACCTCCTTTCTCCCAGAGCTGTGCCAGCCTACAAGTGGAGTGAAGGAGCTGCTAGAGATAGAATTCTGGTCCCCCCACCCCTCTCCTCATCATCTGACACCATCAGACCTCAACAGTCTCAGTGCTAAGAGCCCCTAATGAGCATCAGCAAATTAACAACTTCCCTTTGATTGCTCCTTCTCTGTTAATTGGATAGGAGCCCCCCCCACCCCCCAAGGCCTCTCAGAGAGGAAGAGGGAGGGAGAGAAGGAAAGATGTGAGAGCTACAGTAGGAGCAGCCCCGAGGCCTGGGCTCGGTGCCCCAGAATTCTGCTCTGTCCCCTGAGTACAGCTCCCCCTTCCATCCCTTCCTTGCCCTGTCCACCCCCACCCATCTAACCCTCCACCCTCCCCAACCCCCCTCTATTCTTTTTCCTTGTTTCTTGAATTCTGTCCAAATTCCCTTGACCTCTGGCTATTTCTCCTTCCTTCTCTCTGCTCCTTCTTTAGCGGTGGCATTGAGGGGTTGCAAGTATGCTCCCCAAAGCTATAAGGATGGGGCTTGGGTGGCCAAAGCTGTGTGTTTGTTTATATATGTGTATGTTGTGTACATGTCACATGTACATGGGGAGCAGCGATAGGCACCGATGAATATGTGTAAGCTCCTGAGTGCCTGCCCTGTGGGTCAGGCCTGAGATGTGTGGGTGTGAGTGGTGTGGTGTGACTCTGGTCTGTATGTGTGCCTGTGTCTCCACACGGCCAAGTGCTTGAATCAGTCAAGTGTGACTCCGGGTGTGTGTGTGTGTGTGTGTGTGTGTGTGTGCACGCGCGTGTGTGCCACCAGAGGAGGCAGCAGCAAGAGGCAGGAGCATCGATCCGAAGGAGACAGAGCGGGGAGGGGGACGCTGGGGGCAGACACCCTCCCTCCCGCGCGCGCGCGCCCGCGCACACACACACACACACCCCACACCACACACAGTCATGCACAAGCCATAGGGCTTCGCAGGAAGAAACCCGGCGCCGGGACCGGAGGCGCCGAGAGTGGCCGGGAGGAGGGGGCGAGGCAGTCGGGAGCCCTGGGTCTCGGTCCCAGGTCCGGGGGCCTGGCGCGCACACCAGCCTGGAGACACCCTCGCAGACACTCGTAGGCGCGCACGCGCACCCTCTCCCCTCCCCCTCGCCTCTCCTCCAGCCGCCTCCCGGCCGGACGATGGATCCCTGCAGATCCCGGGGCTGAGAGCACAGCGCACCGCGCACCGCGCCGAGCCCGTGCGGACAGAGCCTAGGCGAGCGAGCGAGTGCGCGCGGGCGGGGGGACCGAGCCGAGCCGGGCCGGGCCGAGCGGGCCGCTCCCTGCAGGGCTCTGCGCGGGTGCCGGGGGGGCCGCAGCTCCCGCTCGGGCCATGCGCCCCTCCGCGG